GTGTGTGTGTGTGTGTGTGTGTGTGTGTGTCTGTCTCTGTGTGTGTGTGTGTCTCTCTGTGTGCGTGTGTGTGTGTGTGTGTGTGTGTGTGTGTGTGTGTGTGTGTCTGTGTGTGTGTCTGTGTGTGTCTCTGTGTGTGTCTGTGTGTGTCTGTGTGTGTCTGTGTGTGTGTGTCTCTGTGTGTGCGCGCAGTGTCAAGAGCAGTGCCAAGTTCGCGTCAAGTTCGTGGCCTTCACGGACGCTCAGGACGACGTGGCTGAGCATCTTCTTCAAGTCCTCGAAAGCTTCAACGGAGCCTTTCCACTCGTGCGTCTTCACCACCACGTGCGCACCCGTCACCTCAGGCTGAGGGCACAGGCGGCACAGGACTCCTGGGACCCAACGTGGCAGCCTCAGAGCCAGGGAGTGCTTTAAGGCTTTGCGTCCATGGCACCAAGCGGCGCTGGAGTTTTTCTCTCGTGACGTGCCGCATCCAGTACGAGTCGCAGGATTCCTTGGCCTGTCGGAACCTGAGCGACTTGTGCCTCTAGCTCCTTGAACTCGGCTCTCGCACAGTCTTGTCATGGACATAGATCACGCATCAGTCCGAAGTGGCAGAAGCCGAACCGCATTGAAGGCCCAAGTGGAGGCACAGTGCTGGCCGTCCTCAGCCGCGCACCACGACACAGCTCACCAGACCCTTGCCTGAAGAAGCGAAGATTCGGAAAATGAGGCCAGAAAAGTGCGGGAATGCGGCCATGCACGGCCTCACCACCTGTCTCCGCAAAGTTGCAGCCGGGCTGCCCGGCTCGCGGTTATGACCAAACTGGGCCTGCACGGGTGCGGATCTTGCTCACAAGTGCAGGTGCTCAAGGGAAGCCCCAAAATGCCGTGCAAGAGTCGCACCAGTTCTGCAGCAACCCGATGACCTCGAGTCTTGGCAAGGACCCTCGATCAGCCTCTTTGGGTAGCGGAAGCCGGCGTTTGCGTCCCAGCGTTGCCGCTCGATGGCGTCCAGATGCCGGCATTCGCACCTTCTCACGCCCGGTTGATCAAAGGCTCGGTGCACGCTCTGTGCATACAAGGCTGGTCAATCTGACATATCTGATGAAACCCACTCTGCTTTTGTATGTCGGTGCTGGTGCACACTGGTTTCGCCATGAAGTCTGGGGGCAACAACTCGACGATGACTCCGATGAGGGAGTTCACCATTGGTACTGCTTGATCGCCAACACTTGGGCTAGTAGACGAAAGCGCCCTCTGTGCACTCACCGACTAATGTGCTGTTGCAAAACATGATTCATTCCAGTGCTCACCTTTCTTGAAAATTTGGTTCTTAGCCACCTGGGCACCGTCCCTGAATGAATCCTGCCAGTTCCTAGCCAGCATGTGCCAGCGCTGCAGTGGATGGCTTGGAAGAGCCGCAACTTTTTAAGTTTGCCAGGGCGCTCGCTGTGACAGCCGGTGCCTGTGGCTGCGCAGCCATGCCCGTGGCAGTCCAGGGGGCCAGTGCCTCGGTCGGAGGCGCCGCTGGCCGGCTAGGGGCCAGGCATCTTGGGACCTGGCCGTTCGGATCCACACCGAAGGCCCCGACCTGTGGAGTCATTCCCCTAACAGGATCCCTCTGACTCTGCACCCTTTTGCAGGCCTGCCAAGCGATGCAGGACTCGGAGGTGCAGCCCTCTGGGCCTTGGCCCTGGGCCCCAGGCCCAGCGAGGCCAGGACCTCGCAAAGAAAAAGAGAGAGCGAGAAGGGTTTAAGCGTAGCTTAAGCGTAGCTTCTAAAAGAGCCTGATATCCAGAGGGCCATCGCAACAGCGCTGGGGGCTCCGCGCCGCACCGTCAAAGGCATGGTGGGTCATATGAACCAGAGGCCCCTATTTGGGAGCACAGGGAAACGGAAAATTCGCGGAGCTGGTCGTGCTTGTTGATTTAAGTCCACGGGTCTTTCTCCGCTCAGGGCACAGCTGAGGGATGTTGGCTGCAGAGGCTATGAATCCCGATGTTGACTGCTCAAGCTTGCTTGCCAACAAGCAGACAAGTGCCTACGTTGCAGTGCTGTGGGCCAGGCCGGCACACAAGAGATCCCGTTATCGCTTCGAGAGCAGAGGGATTAGGGTGCAGGGCATTTGCTTCAGGCCGCAAGTTCAGCCTAGGAGAAACCGTTCGAAATTGAAACCCAGAGGAGCGCATCTGCAACAGCGTCCGGGCCTCGGAGAGTGAGGCCCGGGCCGGTCCTTCGGACCGCTCCCTGGCATCTCCCTGAGCGGAAAGCTTCCACAGCCACGATGAGAATATTCAGAATCCTAGAGACGCCAAGTTGGTAGCCCAGATGGTTACATGCCCTAGATTGCCCTAGCCTTGCATGCCACGACGAGCATTCAGCAAGAGAAGATGGGGCCACCGTCGCCTCTTGGTGCTCGCGCGGGCTGTCGTCGCTTTGTACGGACCCTGCGCCTTGAAAGGCTTACGCGGGGTGTCAGCAATGGGTCTCGGCCAGAGGTTCTTAGACATGCTTCTGCCAAACTGCCGAGCCATCAAAAGGCAGACTCCCTAAACCCGTTGATCTTCGGAGCCCCTGAAAGCTGAAGCCTTGAATCGGGCAGCCGACCTAGACCATGCAGCCGCTTCTCGAGATCTGCAATGCGTGGCTCCAACTCCTGGAACACCGTCAAAACACTAGCCAATCAAGTTGTCTGTTTTGATCCGGACTATTTCTTGTGTGTCCCCGATGTCTCTTCTGAGCATGCGGATTTCTATTCCCCAACTGCCTCTGGTATCTTGGCGTATGCCGCCTGCAGAAACAACCTAACACCTTCAGATTGCACGGTCAATGCATTCACCATCCCTTGGGGTGCCTGGTTAGTTGCCTACTCCACCAGCTCCACTCTTTCGTCGAAGTTCTTAGGCCTCGTCAATTTTCGAACCATCCAGCTTCTAAACTACACACTCGAAGTGAGATGGCTTCCTGAATGCAAAAGACACCGGAGGAAGCAGCAGAAGCGGAAGAAGAAGAACATGACCAAGTATGTCACAACAATAACATACTGACAACCGCAGTCACAGCAAAATGACGACAGGCAACAATAGCATCATCAGAATGGAACGGTAAGTCAGTACATGTCAGTAAGTCATCCGAATCATTGGAATAAGTTCCTGCCCAGTATCTTGATCGTTGCTGCTAGGGCATACAGAACCCCCAATGGCAGCAGAGCCCAAGACACATGCCTTTTATGGCTCCTCGGGCCGAAAACCCCGGAGAATGCCAAACGAGGAAAAGAGCATCTGAGCATCTCTTATTGTGAAGTTTAATTCGGGTTCCTCGCGCATCTCGCTCAGCTGCTGCAGCACCATGGCCTGGAGACGTGAGATGCATCCATCTCATGTCCGCTCATCATCATAGAACAGGCAGCACTATATTCGCAAAAATTTCAGCAGTACGACTCACCACCAATCCGATGTTGCAGGCAGCAATTCATCCTCAATGATATGAATGGCTCATCTCAGGGGGACCCTGACTGCACCCACGTTTTTGATGGCGGACAGCGACCGGCTGCAGTTGCAAGCCGCCTGAGGCCCTCCGCAGCATCAACGTTGTCTATCAAGGCAGGCTGTGTCCCAAAAAACATGACATGAACAGCTACAGCTAGGTGCACGACAACCTGCAGTGGGAAAGACAGGCTGTCGGCACCGGGCCGTCAGTTTAAAGTACATAGAAGCTTGGAGAGTCGCTTTGGGCTGCGTGGTCTCTGTGGGGCGGTATAATGCCGGCACTGACCAGGACACATCAGCTATCAAAGCTCGGCTTCGCAGCCTCTTGAAGTGTGTACTACTTCCACTACTGCTACAGGCAAACAGCTTCAATAAGGCAGTCCAGCGGTGCAACACTCTGTGGAGCATCTAAACCCGCCGCACCGAGCCATGAGACACAGACGCGAGACACAAAGCCACAAGAGCATTTAAGGGTCTACATGGAACTTCCAAACAAGCCAAAACGGATAGCTACAGCCACAAACCGACTGGCTTTTGCCAGCAGCAGCCAGTACTGCAGAAGAGCCATAAGCCGAAACCACTAGAACAGAGCCTGGGGCGGTTCCTAGCCACAACGCAGTCTGATGCTATCACGGACCAATGCAGGTGTAGCTTTCTTGAAGGTTTGAAGCCCTGTCATTGGCCTCACAAGAGCCAGAAAAGGCAGAATATTGACCTTCCACTTCGCTCGTCTCCTACATCACAATCACAGGCTCAATTCGAACTCAACTCGGATGAGCGCCTGTAAGCACGGCAGGATTTACAGAGGAAGCAGCTAAGGTTTTCGTATTGCATTGAGGCTCCTACCGGAAGAGCTACGAGTGCTCGTCACGAGCCAGAGACCCACAGCAGCCTAAGATCCTCCAAGGAAGATTTGAATGCAGCACGCCCCTGCTGAAATGCAGAGAGCCTTGCAGCTGCTGCACGAGAATACGTAATCAAACAAAGCTTTGACGTGGGGCTTTGTTGACAGAGTGCACTGAGCAAAGCCTCCCGCTGGGACATCAGCGTAAGAGTCTGCGTGGCTATGACTCAAAACATCCCTGAACATCCACTCCAAATGCAGGCCTTGCCTGGAGTTCAGGCGTGCAGATGCTAAGCAAGGTCTGCATTGCTGACACAACCAAGCGGGACACTTGTCAGCCGGCCCGTGATGCAGTTGTCCCAGTGAGGTCGTACTTTGCACCCGCGATTCTCCAAGTGGAGTGGTAAGCACAGGATCGGCAAGCATAGCCTAAAGCCGACTCCATGTCACTTCGCCGCTGCACAGCATCCGAGATCACTCTCGTCGCCGCTGTCGACCGAGTCCTCACCTGGATGCCCCAAGAACTCAAGAACCCCTCGGAGAAAGAACTCTTTGAAAGTGCAGGTTCTTTTTATGCGTCAGAATTGAGGTCAGCTTTCAGGGGCGTGACGTTGCTTCTTTGCTCCTGAGGTGAAGGTCCAGTCTCTGGGAAGAAATCCGCCCTGCAAAGACTTCGTCAGCATTGCGACATGTAGTTACGATTTTTGTTAGCACCACGCACCGCCCGGCATAATATCACCCGGAAGCTGACAGGTACTGCACCTGGCCTCGATGCACGCCTGCAAACATCCAGCACGTAAATAGCAGCCCCTATTTTTCCCCCGAGAATAATGCCAGGATCGCTCAACTCGCTGCTGTTGCCTTCCGCCAAGTCCAGTACTTCCTCATCAGGAAGCAATGCAGGCTGGTCATGTTGCCCTTCTCAGCACTGCATGTGCGAGTTGGAAATGAGCGGTTCTTCCAAGCAGCCCTTTGCGCTGTGTTGCCAAGCCTTTCCCCAAGCTTCGACCGAGGCTCGTTAATGACGTGCATCATGAACTTGCAGGAGATCAGCTCCTTGTGATGCGTCTTCTGTGCACGGCATTTGCGAACCTCCGGCAAGACGGTGCTGTTCTTCACAGATGGCTGGCCAAAAACTCCCGCTGGTTCTGCTCCAGCGCTTTAGGGACGATCTGCTGCCTACTACTTAAACTCTGGGTCGATTTTTTTCGCTGTGGACACCTTGCTCGGGACATGTCGATGATCCAAACCGGCCTGCACGCCCGCCTCCCTCCACATGTCGCACATGCGTTCCACACTGGAGGCGATGACCGTGTCGTCACCTTTTTCCTCACGGACCACGGTTTGGAAACGTGAGTAAACCGATGCCCTACCATCTGTCATTGAGCTGCATGTTTTCCCGAAGCAAATCGCTACTTGACCACTTCGCTCCGACAGTAAGGCAATGCTGGTACCTGCGTAAAGCAGTTGCCACTGCTCTGAGGGTTGGGAGCAGGAACGGTTGACCAAGTGTGTAATTGCTGCAAGACGAAGTCACTCATAGTTCTTGCCAGCCTTGTTCCGACGAGCACTGGCAAGATATCATTAACATGAAACAAGCAAGTCCGACCAACCCCAAAATCCATGAACAAATTAGCCTTACAGTATACAGTGCCCAAACATCTCCAAACTCCATCCCCGACTCTGCTCAGAGCAAAGATTCCCAAGCCGCATGGCCAGCTTTTCGCAGCAGGTTGTGTTGGAAAGTCATGTGGCCTCCGAGACAATGCGACAATGTCGCGACGATTTGTTTGATTGTATGGCTATTTCGGTGCTCAATAGCTTGCTCTCCTTCCCGATGGGTATATATATATATGTATGTAT